CTGGGGCCTCCGGTGGAGCTCTGGGGCCACGAAACGTGTGAGGGGTGTGCCGACATGGATGTGCGTGACGCAAGCGGGCGGTGGCATTGGGGCCTTCGGTGGAGCTCCCTATGGGGCCACGGAGCGTGTGAGGGGTGTGCCGAAGTGGGTGTGCATGACGCCTGCGGGCGGTGGCACTGGGGCCTTCGGTGGTGCTCCCTATGGGGCCACGAAGTGTGTGAGGGGCCTGCCGAAATGGGTGTGCGTGACGCATACGCATGCGTGCGGTGGCACTGGGGCCTTCGGTGGTGCTCCCTGTGAGGCCACGAAAACGTGGGATGGTTGTGCCGAAATGGGTGTGCGTGACGCAAGCGGGCGGTGGCACTGGGGCCTTCAGTGGAGCTCCCTATGGGGCCACGAAGCGTGTGAGGGGTGTGTCGAAATGGGTGTGCGTGACGCATGCGGGCGGTGGCACTGGGGCCTTCGGTGGTGCTTCCTTTTGGGCCACGAAGTGTGTGAGGGGCCTGCCGAAATGGGTGTGCGTGACGCATACGCATGCGTGCGGTGGCACTGGGGCCTTCGGTGATGCTCCCTGTGAGGCCACGAAAACGTGGGATGGTTGTGCCGAAATGGGTGTGCGTGACGCAAGCGGGCGGTGGCACTGGGGCCTTCAGTGGAGCTCCCTATGGGGCCACGAAGCGTGTGAGGGGTGTGTCGAAATGGGTGTGCGTGACGCATGCGGGCGGTGGCACTGGTGCCTTCGTTGCAGCTCCCTATGGGGCTAAACGTGTGAGGAGAGCCGTCATGGGTGTGCGTGTGACACATGCGGGCGGTGGCACTGGGGCCTTCGGTGGAGCTCCCTGTGCGTGTGAGGGGTGTGCTGGAATGGGTGTGCGTGACGCACGAGTGCGGTGGCACTGGGGCCTTCGGTTGAGCTCCCTGTTGGGCCACGAAGCGTGTGAGGGGTCTGCCGAAATGTGTGTGCGTGACGCATGCGTGCGGTGGCACTGGGGCCTTCGGTGGTGCTCCCTATGGGGCCACGAAGCGTGTGAGGGGCATGCCACAGTGAGGGTGGTGACGAGAGGAGGGAGGAGGGGGGGAGGAGGAACGAAGGAAGGAGAATGCTGGGACCGCCTCTCCAAAACAAGGACCCAACACAACAGGATGGTTGGGAACTGTGACTGCAGCTGCTTCGGACCCTCATTGAGGTCCTCTTAGGGGGCATCTTGAACCGTCTTGAGGCCATATTCGGCCGCCTTTGGGCCATCTTGGGCTGTCTTCGAGGCATGTTGTGTTCTTGGTGTCCTTGGTTGCCTTCATGGGCCGTCTTGGAAGCCCAGGGCGCGGACACGTGGTTCTTTATGTGGAATCGTGGCCTCGGGGGCGCAGATCCGTTTTTGTTTGCGAGAGATCGTGACCTCGGGAGGGTGGGGGTGGACCCGCAGTCGAGTGCGAGTAGATGGGGGAAGGGATCCTTTTTAGAAAACAAAACCTACCAGGCAGCACTTGGTATTCCTCTCCGCTGTCGCTGCATTGTTCCCGCGTCGCTTCGTGCCCTCTCCACGGGTCCTTGTGGGATTTATCCCTGCATCCCTACAGGGGCACTATGGGAAAAGCATGTTTGTATGTGTGTCTTGTAATTCGCCTGGGCCTGTGCGGGCCTAGCGCTTCGCGGCGGTGCCGCCACCTCGCTGCAGGAAGTGTGTGGGCCTGCTAGACGTCCTTGCACGTAGGGTCGGACCGGGGTATAAGGTCGAGGTCGGTTCGGGAAGGGTACCCTGATGTTCTTCGTGTTTGTTGAAGGTTCTTGTGCATCCTGGGAAAGGGTACGGCGTTTCGTGGCCCCATGGGGAGCTCCACCGAAAGCCCCAGTGGCTGTGTACGCATGCGTCCCGCGCCACCCATTACAGCGCTTCGTGGCCCCCATTGGGAGCTCCACCGAAGGCCCTGGTGGCTGTGTGCGCATGCGTCCCGTGCCTCCCAGTACCCTGGAAGTGTTCTTCAGTTTGGCCTGCGGAGGGTCTCGTGTTCTTGAAGGCTGCTCTTCTGTCGTGGGCTCGGTTGTAGGCCGGTCTGGGTCTCCCCCTTCCGCTGCAGGCCTCTTCCCACGGCCATCCATCCACAGCGCTCCCTGCAGCCACTCGCGGCAGAGGTGTCGCTGCGCCAGCGGAGTCGGAGTGTGCTTCTGTTGCGAAGGCCTTGCGGCCGGTGCCGCCGTCCCTGAAGGGGGACGACGACGACGACGACAACCACGACCCCGACCCCGACCACGACGACGACGACCACGGCGACGGCGACGACGACGACGACGGCGACGACGGTGATGGCGTCGACGACGCCGACGACCACGGCGGCGACGAACAACAATCAAAAACTCCGCTTGGCGCGTCGGAGGGAAAAGTGCGTGTTTCTGCTTCGTGGCGTTCCCCTCTTCTCGTCCGCCCGCCTGCCCTTGCTGCTGGCTCGTGGGCAGCTTCTGGGCTTCCCTGCGGTGAGTTGCGGATCCCTTTCCCGTGGTCGGCCTTGTTTGGCCGCCAGACCAGTTCGGTTGCTGCTTGGCGGCTTCCCCCGGCTCCTCCTCCTTCCGGGTATAGCCAGGACCCCAGGTAAGGGGACCCGTTTAGTAGTAGGGCCCCGGAGCCCCTAAATTGACCAGAATCATGAAACCAGGTCTGCCGCAGCTGGTGTTTTTCGGGTAACGGCAGATCTGGTTAGTGGAACGGGGCGGGGGCGTCCCCCAGTACACATCACTAAACCAGGTCCCACTAAACCCAGTCCTGCCAACGCCCGATCCTTCCTCTCCCCCTCGCTGGTCGTGCTGGCCAGCGTCCTTTTCGCCCCTCCCGCTCTCTCTTTCTCTCTCTCTCTCTCTCTTGCCTCGCCTGGCCTTCTTCCCTTGTAGCGCTTTCGCGTGGTCTCTCGGGAGGTTCCGACTGCACCGTGACTCCACAAGGAGGCGAACTAGCTCTAAGGGCGTCCCCAATTCTTCTACTGCTGGCTGGTCTCTTCAGCGCTGGTCTCTTCAGCGCGTCGGAGGAATGAGTGTGTGTGTGTGTGAACGCAGGTTGACATCGGCTCCTCGGTGCGTCGGCATTCTGCAGGTTTGTGGCGCCGGGCCGATCGCCCGCAGCCTCCGCCCTGGGGCGCGCCTGGCCAGCCGGCCTGCTCTACTGCCCTCTTCCCAAGCTCCCTGCCGGGCGCTCCCGATCACTGGTGCACCTCTTCGGTGCCCCTCCCGGTCCCTTTGCTCTCTGCCGGACTACGGACCTCCTGCCTCCCCCGCCCGGCTCGTGGCCCGGCTGGCCTCGTTGCCCACGCCCCCGCCTTTCCTGGTTTTCAGGCCGACCCCTCCTCCTTCGAGGTGGTCCCGCAGTCTGCCCCCCCCGGGCTGCCTCGCAGGTCCCCCGCGACCTCGGCACCCCTGGCAACTTCCCTCGCGTGCACTTTCCCCTCCTGGGCGCCGCCTCGTGCCCCGGCCCCCCCCCTGCCGACCCCTCCCCTTGAGGTGGTCCCGCACTGGCCGCTCCTGGATAGCCTCGCAGGTCACTTGTGACCTCGGCTCCCTCGGCTCGCGTTCCGCGTTCAACTTCGTCACCAGCCTGCGCTGGGCGCCGCTCCCCCCGGGCACCCATCTCTGGTGGTCGCCTGGCTGGCCTACCCCACCAGCTCCCGCCTGGCCCCGATGTGAGCGGGCCTGGCCCCGCTGTGAGCGGGCCTGGCTTCCTCCTCCCCGCCGTCGCCAGGCGTCTCCCCTCCTCCCTCCGTGCATCGCGGCTGTGTGAACGGCGCGTCTCCAGTTCGCTCGGGTGCACTTTCTCCGCCTCGTCGCTGCGCGCGAGGCCAGGTCGCGTTCGTCAGAAAGAGGTGTGTGTGTGTGAGAATGTGTATTTGCGTGTTTGTATGTGTGTGTGTGTGCTTGTGGGTGTTTGTGTGTGTGTGTATGTGTATGGATGTGTATGCGTATGCGTGTTTGCGTGTCTGTGTGTGTTTGTGTGTAGGTGTCTGTGTCTGTGTCGGTGTCTGTGTCTGTGTCTGTGTCTGTGTCTGTGTTCTGTGTGCGTGTGTGCGCGTGTGCGTGTGTGTGTGTGTGTGTGTGTTCGTGTGTGTGTGTGTGCACGTGTGTGTGCGTGTGTTTGTGTCTGTGTCTGTGTCTGTGTCTGTGTCGATATGTGTCGTCTGTGTCTGTGTTTGTGTCTGTGCGTGTGCATGTCTGTGCGTGTGTGTGTGTGTGTGTGTTTGTCTGTGTCTGTGTCTGTCTGTGTCTGTCTGTGTCTTATGTGTCTGTGCCTGTGTCTGTGCGTGTGCGTGCGTATGTGTGTGTGTGCGTATGTGTGTGTATGTGTGTATGTGTGTGTGGTGGGGGGGAGGTCGGGGGGGGGGGGGGCGAAGGGGGTGCATGTCGCAACAACACTGCGCCACTATTATGTTATATCACCTCTTCCGCAGTATACCGTATAGCCATCTCCTCTCCTCAGAGAGGGGAGCTTTCTGAGAAGGCAGGGGGCCCCGCAGAAGGGACGGGTGGCTTCAGATAGACTTGCCCAGAAGGCTACGAGCCAGTTGAGAAGCCCCCGCCCTGGTAGAGCCTATGCCGATCCACAGTTCCTCCGATTCGATTTCGATTCTGGCTGGCTCGATCAGATTCGATCTAGACTTGGAGTTGCCCGTTCCGATCCGATCCGACCTCTCGGAGACAAGGATGGGGGGAAGGGCGGAAAAGGAGGAGGAGGAGGAGGAGGAAAGGGAGAAGGCGGAGCAGGACAAGGAGGAGAAGGAGGAGGAGGAGGAGGAGAAAAAGGAGGAGGAGGAGAAAAAGGAGGAGGAGAAAAAGGAGGAGGAGAAAAAGGATGAGGAGGAGGAGGAGGAGAAGGAGGAGGAGGAAGAAGGGAACTCGGAAGAGGAGCAGGAGGAGCAGCAGCAGGAGGAGGAGGAGGAGGGATCCGGTGCTGCCTGACCCTGCCCTTCTCGGAAGGCTGCCGCCCCGCTCGCCTGGGCCCCTCCCTCCGCGCGCCGGTGGCGAGGAGCGCGCGGTGGCCGCCGGGCTGCCGGTCCTCGAGAGCAGCCCCGGCTGCAGCTCGGCGGAGGACCGAATCGGGGGCGGCCAAGAGGGGAGGGGGATGACGAGGGGAGGGGGATATCGTGGCGGTGGCCATGAGATCTCCCCAGATTTCATGGCGCCTCTTCTCGTGTCATTGCGTTCCCGCCCCGCCCCCCCCCCCCCCGGGCCGCGCACATGCCGCCGGCCATGGTTTTCGCCCCCCCCCCCCCCCCCCCTCCCCCCTTCTTGGACGCCCCCCTCTTGGATGCCCCCCCCCCCCTCTTGGACGCCCTCCTCTTGGACGCCGTCTTGGATGCCCCTCTTGGGCCCCCCTCTCATGGACGCCCCCCTCTCATGGACGCCCCCCTCTTGGACGCCCCCCTCTTGGAGGGCAGCTCAGACCCAGACCTCGAGCAGTGGCGAAGCATCTTGGCTTGCCTTTAGGCCCACGAAAGAAAAGTCTAAGAACCTTTTATGGTCTGCACGAGATATCGCACCCCGCAGATGCGGACAAGAGTGAGGGTGCGGTGGGGACGTCGGCAGTTTGCGAGACTCTGGAGAAGCCCGCCGCAGGCGCCGAAGTTTCACAAATTATGCAACGAGCCCGCCGCAGGCGCTCAGTTTTTCGTTAAACCAATGTGGGTAGATCGCGGGTCGGTCGCAACAAGCAGAATCCTCACCACGGATCCCGACTTTAGCCACGCACCCAGGGACAATGAATGACCGTTCGGCCCCCCCACTCTGATTATTGAACCATTTCCGGCTGAGATTTGCTTGCTTAAAACACATCGGGCTTATGCTCTAAGACACATTGTTCCTATTATCAGAACAATTCTGGGTTCTAAGAAGATTTCGTGGTAGGCCGCTAGGAACGCCGGACGGTCGGTCCCTGCTCAACGACCCCCCGCAGAGTCATAACAACACCACGACGGGAAGTTGTTCGCCATTTGTTTGCCTTTGGTGGCCCGTACTGGGCCTCGGGACTGTCCAAAGACAACTCAACATGAATATCTGGACTCGCTGTTGGAACGTACTCTCCGGAAGTCTGGACGTTGGCCAGAGGCGTTTCGGCCGCGTTGGAAGCACGGTTTGTCTAGTTTTGTGCGCAATGCGTTGTACTGCCTGCGTTTCCGCTCCTCCTCTTCCTCTTCCGCCTCCTCCTCCCCGTCTTCCTCCCTAGGTTGTCCAGGTGTGTGATCCTTAGCTGGTATCCGTGCGTGGCCCACATTTTCTCCGCTCGGCATGGAAGCAGCAGGGTAATCCGCAGCAGCCGCCGCAGCTCGCTCGGTGCTTCCGCTTGCCTCCTCCCCTCCTCCTCCTCCTTCTCCTCCTATTCTTCCTCATCATCTTCCTCTTCCTCCTCCTCCTCCTCCTCCTCCTCCTCCTTCTCTTGCTCTGGCGTAACTGCCAGAATTTCCGCCCCAAGTTCCGGCCACGATCGCAGGACATACATTGTGCTGGAAACCGTGGTTTCTGTTTCTATGCGGCATCCCTGCCAGCGCTGTTACGACACGTAACGTAATTTTAAGGGATGATTCGCGGAGTTGCCATCGACTTTTGTTCCACTGTTGTCATTGCTGCGGTGGGGAAAACGATTCAAGATGAAAAGCCAGTCCCAGGGAAGGGGCCGAGGCAGTTCAGGTTACAGCCATCGAGCTACGGGAATCGGGGAGCAAACAATGACGTAAGCATCAAACAATTCGGAAGTCCAGGCGGGTTTCTCGGATCGGCGTTGGAGCCCCTTCCTTGGCTCGCGGAGATCCGCGCGGACTTCCGAGTTTTTATTCTTATGTCATTGCGTGTTCCCTTGAACGAGGAACGCCAAATATCGAACGAAGGGGCTTGACTGGCCACAGCGGGCCTCGGCCACGCGAAGGTTAGCCGACCTGGATCCAAGGAGCGGCTCGAAAGCCAAGAGCCCTTCCCGAACCCGAAGTGGTCTTTCTTTCAGCCCTTTGGCTGTGCGTTTCAGCCCCAAAGGTGAAAAGGCGGGTCGAGGAGCGGGAGGGCGGGACAGGGCCATGCGGCCGGACAGGGGTTGAGAGCACGGCCATGTGCACCGCAGTGTCGTTCACAAGGGATCGTCCGTGGCCGTCCAAATCCGAAATTGTTGGCGGCATTCACGAGGTCCCTTTTTACTACTTTGAGAACCCCTTGGCTAAACCCCCTTCCTGACTCCCCCCCTCCCTTCCTCCCTTCTTCTTCTCCATAAGAGGAGGAGGAGGAGGAGGAGGAGGAGGAGGAGGAGGAGGAGGAGGAGGAGGAGGAGGAGGAGGAGGAGGAGGAAGTAGAAAGTGTGAGAACCCCCTGGCTAAACGCTGGTAGGGAAATAGGGGACACCTCGGGCTTGGGGGGGGCGGCTCTGGTTTTCGGGCCGCTCCTCAGATCTAGGCCGCTGCACCTCGTGGCCGGGGCTCGCAGTGGCCAAAGGAGTTTCTTCGCTCCTCGTTCCGTATGGTGGCACGATGGCTGTAGAAAGCGCGATCGGCACGCCAGGGAGGGGGGCCTGGCGCCGATCCGGGAATTCCGCGCGGACCTCCGAACATGTGTGCTCGTGCGGTTACACTGCTTCTTCCTCCAGAGGAGGCGCAGGCCTTCCTGAAGCAGCGCCCGATGCGGTTCCCGCTGCTGCTCAAGGCGTCCTACGGCGGCGGGGGGCGCGGGCAGGCCGTCACAGAGGAGAGAACACCCACTGGCATCGGTGCCCCCTCCCTCCTGCCTCGCCTCCTCGGACCCCTTGCCGGCACGACTGGCACGGGGAAGGAATGAAGGGGCACGAAGACTAGCAGCAGTTCCTGCCCGCTTTGAGCAGGGCTCGCTGCCAGTATCGTCGAGAACGGGTCGCCTGCCCCAGCAGCACTGCTGTTGGCTTTGTGTAGCGTTTTTCTGCCTGGCTTCGTGCCCGCTGTTTCGAGGCCCTTTCGGGCGCGCCAGTCCTGGAGGGCCCTCGTCGCCACGGCTGGGATCGCCTCGGCCCCCTGGTCAGAGCGCGCCCCGGGAGGCCCAGACCCATGACGCCGTGATTTTCCTGCCACGTGGCCTCCGGGTGGTCTGGACCCTCCCTGGGACCAGTCTTTCCTCCCGTGCCGTCTTTGGACAGCCCTTGGGCCTGGTCAGGGCCCCCGAACGCCGAAGGCGGCCAAAGACCGGCCGCCTCGATCTCTTCGCGACGAGAGGACGCGGGGGAAGAGGGTCCAGGCAGTGGCGATGTCGGTAGCTCCCTCTCCCCCCCGAAGGCCGTGGTGGAGGCGCCGGAGGCGTTCGCGGAGGCCTTCGACCGCTGCAGCCAGGAGGCGACGATGAGCTTCGGGCGCGGCGAGGTCTTCGTCGAGAGGTTCCTCGCGAGGGCGCGCCACATAGAGGCCGTTCCAGAAAAGGCCTCGCCTTCCCTGAGACATCCTGGGTTTTCGAGTCGGGCGTTTCCGCATGCTTTCGAGCTCTGGGACCCTCACAGATCGGTCCGGCTCGAAACATGCAGCTGAAAGGTGGGGTCCAGATCTCCGGCTATGTGTTTGTTGCCATTGTTGCAGTTTTTTCGCCACGTCGGATCTCAGGGTTCGATCCCTCTTGCCTTCGGCCAGTGGCGGCGGAGGCAGGCGGGAGACGGCGGGAGCCAGCGGAAGGGAAGAGTCGGGTGCTGCCAAAGGTGTCCCTGGCCCAAGGTGTCCAGTCAGTCAGTCAGTCAGTCAGGAACCGTGCCTAGACGGCACATCGGTTGCAGGTCACGTGCATGAGCGTATGTACAGCAGTACACCAACGTCAGGGGTGGTGTAGAAATTTGCTCACTCGCGCCCAGCCCCGCCTGGAAGCCCGCATGGTGGACGAATTGATTTCCCAGGATTGGCTTCCCAGGACTGATTTCCCAGGAGGGCCAGATTTCTTCCAGAGCACCCCTCACGAGGCCCAGAGGTCCCCAGAGGCTCCAAAATGGCACGAAAAGCTGGGAGCACCTTGCGCCAGGATCGCTTCTAGCAACACCCGAAAGCGGTGGCGGCTGCATCAGCGAAAGGCCATCGGGAGGCGCTGGAAGTAAGAGTGAGCCGTCAACATTTTTGGGTCCACAGTTTCCGCAGTGGAACTACGTAAACGCTGCACCGTACAGATATTGCTGCTCCCCAGACCTCTCCCAGGGTGCGTTCTGTTTTGATTTTCGGCGCACGTCCATCCGTGGCGACGAGGGCCAGCCAGGAGGCCCCCAAGGGAGAAAACGATGGAAGCTCGGTGGTATCGGTAACTTTTCCAATGCTGATTCCAGCACAGGCCATGGATCGACGAAGAAGCACATGCATGAACAAGAACGTTTGGAGTTCCTTGCATACTTCTTGGATCTACGCCGAACCCCCCTGCCTGGCGCACGGAGCAAGCTAGGGTCGGCGCGGGAGGCGCCGCCAGGGGCTTCCGGCGCAGATCCGAGAAATCGGCGCGCACTTCCGAACAATTGTGTTTATGCTGGCCTCTTTCCAGCGCCAGGAGAACTTGACCATCTCGGAGCAACTTGGGGCACTTGAGAAGCACGCGCGAAACCAAACAACGCACGGGGAGTGCACGTCCGACCGATGGCGAGTCTACTGGAGGTCCAGATCCTCGGAGACGGCTCGCGCTGCGTCCATGTCTTCGAGCGCGACTGCTCAGTGCAGCTGCGGAAGCAGAAGGTTGTGGAGATCGCCCCCGCGCAGGGCATCGCCCCGCGGTTGCGCGAGCGGATCTGCTCGGCGGCCGTGCGCCTGTGCGAGTCCGTGGGCTACCTGAACGCTGGAACCGATCCTCCCTTCCTCCTCCCTCCTCCTTCCTCCTTTCTCCTCCTTCCTCCTTCTTCCTTCTCCACCTCCTCCCTCCTCCTTGTTCTCCTGATCTTCTTCCTCCGGATCCTCCTCGTCGTCCTCGTCTTCCACTCATTTGCCTTATGAATATCTCCTCCCTGTCGCACCCCGAGGCCAGTTGTAGGGCGGGCCGGGCGCTTCGCCTGATACTTCCTCATCACGTATGACCCTGAAGCTTAAAAGTGGCAGCAGCTTCACAGATGGAGGGCGGTGGTCTTCAACATGTGGCTCTCGCCTTAGCGCCGCGCACATTCAGTTTAAACATGTGAAAGAGTTTCACAGATCGAAGGCGGGTGGTTTTCAAAATGTGAATATTAGGGATGTGCAAAGAGGCGGTTTCGGTGGCTCTGCTAATCGCCGCTTCCGCCGCGAACCGTTGAAGGTTTTCGTCGTTTTGTTAATAGACGCGTTTCAGAAAGATCAATATTTTTTCCTTGGAATTGTTTTTTTTTTTTTTTCGTTATGGATGCAACTGTTTTTCTAAAGGCATTCGTGTTGTTTCGATGCGTATAGGTTTTTTCGTTAATCGTTCGTCGGGTAGGTCATGTTCGTTTTTGCTATGGTATTGCTCCTGGGAGCTACGAATCACAGTTCGGAAGCAATGCTATGATGTTTTGGTGTGGTGTGTTCCCCGCTAGGCTTAACATTTTCTGTGTAGCACCAGAAGAATCCAGGCTGTGTATGGTTCGTGATGTAAGTTCTATGCCCGCGCTCGTATTGACAATCCTGCGTGGTGTAAAACAATGCGCCCGTGCACGCATTGAAGTAGACCCAAACAAGTGAGCCACAGCGAGGTCCCACAAACAAGTGCCCATATTAAGATCGGAGTATTTGGGATATGTTTTGGGGGTTGGGGTGGGTCAGCGGCTTTCTTGCCCAAGATGTCCGTGCCTTTGTTTGTGCGCTTACACGACACAGCTGTTCATTACGGCACGCTCTCGGCTGATGGTTCCCCTGTAATTACTAGTCTGCATGACTTTGCAGCGTGCTTCGATGACGTGAGCAACATCGAGATGACGCGGCACCTTTTATCGAGCGCCAGCGTGCGCTACAGGCACCCGGACTCCAGCCGCAGGCGCCCGGCCTGGTCCCTGGAGGTGATACCTCAGTTGATGTCGTCCCTGGGCGTGGTCCTCGGCACCGAAGAGTGGGGCGGCTTGAGAGCAGGCCGCCAGATCTCTTTCCTTTTTGTGTCTAGTCTGCCAACCACCATGCCTGCTCTCCACTCTCTATCCTGATCTGTTTTGCCGTTATCTGTCTGCTTCTCCCTCCGTCTCTCTCTCTCTCTCTCTCTCTCTCTCTCTCTCTCTCTCTCTTTCATTCGCCCCTGCGTTCGTTGTCCCCTCGCTCCCTACTAGAGTCACGCAGTCACGCGCATTCCCCCCAAATCCATCGGAGCGCGCACACGTGCGCATGCTCCACAGCATTCGCAAGAACACGCACGCATTCACTCGAGACGCACGCAGAGGAGGAGAGGAGGAGGGGGGAGGGGGGGGAGGAGGAGGAGGAAGACTGAGGAAGAGGAGGAGGAGGAAGAGGAGGAGGAGGAGGAGGAGGAGGAGGAGGCGGCCCCTTCGTCATTGTTTTCTAAATCAGTGATGTCAATCGCAGGGGATGCCATGCCAATCGCGCGCCGTGCATCCCCGCCCCATCCCCTCTGCCAGTCATTGACGCGGGCATCCGAGACAAGCTTCGTCGTGATGGAGTGCAGGCCGCAGGTGGCGCTGTGGTTGCTTGCAGCGAGGCCAATGGCCTTCGATCGATGCTTTGCGATTTGCGACATCAGTTGGTGAACGAAACTCGTCATCGTCGAAGGTTGGAATAAACGATGCAATATGTTAGAACAGCAGCTTGAGGATGCCAGAGCACGTTGTGTGGTTCCGTGGTCAACCCGGGCTTGCAGATTTTCATCGGGTGCCAACGTCTTCAGAGGAGTCTTTGTAGCGATGCGGCGCACTCTCGCAAACGTTGCCGCGTGTAAGGTTGGCGTACCTTTCGGATTATACATTCACCACGCGACAGTGGCGCTCTGGGAGATTCGGTCTTGCGCGGCGCTCATTGCAAACATCAGGGAGGTTCAATATGTGCTGGACGAACATTTCTTGTTCAATACTGCGCCTGTTGAGGCGCCCTTCAGGACACGAGGGGCACGGGTAGTTGCAGCATGTCTCAAGATGTAGATACATGCGTGAGCAACAAAGAGAGAAAGAGAGAAAGAGAGAGAGAGTGCGTGTGTGTGTTGTGTGCGTGCGTCTGAGCAGCATCGGCAGCAACGGCGGCAGCAAGCGACAGAGGGCAATATTCAATTTGCCATTCAATGCATCGGCGGCCTCGCATGCACGCAGAGGCGCGCCCACCCTCCCCGTCGCACTCCTCTTCCTCGTCCCCCTCCTCCTCCCTCCTTCGCTCCAATGGCCAAGGTCCTCCTGACCTCCTGTGCGAGCCCATCTCTGATCCGCGTGTTGTGTGCGCTGGCCTCTTGATTGTGTTCGGCAGTGTTGTTGTCGTGGTATTTCGCCGCAATTGTTTGCCTAGCTCTTGCTAGTCTTTGCTCATCTCACTTTCTCGATCTCTCTGTGTCCCATATCTGCTCGGACGAGAGGGGAGGATATTTCGGAATTACCTCATCCGCTGCGATGCTACCAATACTGCGGTCTGGCAGAATAAACAGAAGATGCACGGGCTCGCGGTGGAGTGTTCGTTCAAGGCGTTCGGGTCGCCCCGGGTGCAACGAGCTACCGCTTCTTTTGCTGACCTACTGTTGTTGCCCGCCCAGGATGCAGACACGATGTTGCGTATAATCAAGAAACAGTTATCTGGTCTTGGGGTGCCTGTTTGGGACACGTACGAACCAACATCTGTTTTGGCCTACGCTGTTTGCACAGATGCCGGAGGAGACATCAGTAAGACGCGTGCCCTGATCAAGGAAACCATCATGTCATTGAGCGTCCGACTATTTTGGTTCGATATCGATTGCCTACAACACCAGGCATCCCTCGGAACTCTAGACCTGTTGAAACGATTGGATGATATGATGCTGAGAGTCACAAGGAAATGCAATCCTGAGGGGAAGCCGTACAAATACGCCAGCACGCTCATGAAGTGCATGAATGTCTGGCGCGACCACGCGGCGCCGGCGTACTGGGCCTGGCAAGACATTGACAAAAATACGAGCAAGCACACAGAGACCATGCCACCAAAAATGATTCCATCTAGATGGGGCACAAAAGATCTGTGTGAAGAGAGGTTGCTCGGCGTTCCCCGGGCTACTTTTGTTGCGGTGATGCGACTTGCCCTGGATAGGAGAACGCGTGCATTGCTAAAAAAATCAAAGAAGAAACGATGCTCGGAGGAGGAACTGTCCGCTTCCCTGGCATGGTACATGTCTATAGAGGAGGCTCAGCTGGGAGGAAAAAGCAATTACAGCGAAACCATGGGGAAATGGGCGGTGGATGCTCTTGTGGCATGGGAGGGCGATTGGTTTTGGATCATGCTAGAAATCTCTTACAGAATTACCAAGCCTTGGCGGCTGCTGAGACACTTTCTCCAGGGCCACGACAAGATGGTCAGGAAGACAGGGGCGGGTTCACTTGCGCACTTAGTTTGGGGGGAGTGCCACGAACTATACATCGATGCGAGGGAGATGTCGGAATATCAATACTGGGTTGAGTTCTTGGGCAATCTCAGTGACCGTCACGTTTTGGAGGCTGCAGTATTATGCCGGGAGATTGGGATGAACTCTTGCATCATATTTCGCACCCGCATCCGCGATCGAGCGATGAGTTTCCCAGCCAAGATCTTGATGCTAGCCAAGAGCCCGCGCGATGTATTCTGTCAGGGCCTGGGCCCGAATGGTGGTCTCCGAACGACGACGGTCACGACGATCCAACGACCCTCTTGCCTCTTGATGGGCCCAGGGGCCGTCGGGCCGTCGGGCCGAGGGGCCCACTGGGTAGGGTGCGGAGGAGTAGAGGAGAGGAGAGGAGGAGAAGAGGAGAGTGGCGGCGGAGGAGCGGGGGGGGGGAGCGGCGGAGGAGTGGAGGAGGAGGGGAGGAGAAGTGCAGGAGGACACAGGAGGATCAATCCACTCCTGAGGAGAGGGCCGAAGTCGCTGGCCTCATGCTGTCGGATTCGGTCGATGAGATGAACGCCATGAAGATGAGGTCTCTGATCAGATCCGAACTGGAGAACTGCGCTCAGACGGGCATGATATCGCGGGATACCTGGACCTGGGTCAGAGATCTTTGCGCCCGCTGGCGCCCAGACACAGAAGCCCTGGAGTCGTTTAATAAGACCGTGAAGGAGGAGGTTCAGAAGGCCCCGCACATCAGCCCAGCTCTTTTGTCCTCGAGGCCCATTAACAAGATGGCTGTTTACTCGATGGTGTACGCCCAACAGGTCGAACACAACGCCGGGAAGCCTGCCATTCGCAAGTGGTCTTTGGCACAGGGCGGTCTCTTCTCGCTGTGCCAGTTCGTGTCTTCGGGATGCCCTGGCAGCCTGGAGGTGTTCAGATGTTTTGCGACATCCTAAACAAACGACCCACTCTGAAGGAGACGCCCCAGGGGTGCCCCTGCGTCGGTTTCTATGGGCCCCTGGGGCCCATCCAGACGCCGATCACGCTCCAGAAATGCAACTGCGTCGGTTTCTGCGGGCTGGCGCTCGGATGGGCCCCTGGGGCCCGTCCAGACGCCGATCGCGCTCCAGAAATGCAACTGCGTCGGTTTCTGCGGGCTGGCGCTTGGATGGGCCCCTGGGGCCCGTCCAGACGCCGATCGCGCTCCAGAAATGCAACTGCGTCGGTTTCTGCGGGCTGGCGCTTGGATGGGCCCCTGGGGCCCATCCAGACGTAGATCGCGCTCCAGAAATGCAACTGCGTCGGTTTCTGCGGGCCGGCGCTTGGATGGGCCCCTGGGGCCCATCCAGTCGCCGATCGCGCTCCAGAAATGCAACTGCGTTGGTTTCTGCGGGCTGGCGCTTGGATGGGCCCCTGGGGCCCATCCAGACGCCGATCGCGCTCCAGAAATGCCATTGCGTCGGTTTCTGCGGGCTGGCGCTTGGATGGGCCCCCGGGGCCCATCCAGACGCCGATCGCGCTCCAGGGGGGGCGAGAGGGCCTGGGGGGATAGAGTTCTGCTGCGAGGAGGGATGGGCCCTCCCCCC